GGGTATATTAATTTTGTCATTCCGTTTGTAACTCCTCGAAATACTCACGTCAGACCCAACAAACTATATATATTCTTGATCAGCGTAAAATTCTAAGACGATTTAGCCATGTCCGTCTGTCTGTCTGTGTGTCTGTCTGTCCGTCTGTCCGTCCGTCTGTCTGTCTGTCTGTTGTAATCACGCTTTCGAACAATCTTTCGAACAAATTGAGATAGAAGGCTAAAATTTTGCACACATGTATATTTTTCCAGTAGGCAGGTTAAGTTCGTAAATGGGTCATGTAGGTCCAAGTTTTCATATAGCCCCCATATAACGGTACCTCTCGATATTCGGTATTTTGACGATTTTAGCGACATTATTCACCGGAATTGTTTCAAATTTGGCATTTGAAGTTCGTAATGGATACTACAGCCTAAGACAGAAAATTATCTGTGCAGGTCCACGTCTTCGTATAGCCCCCATATAACGGTACCCCCCGATATTCGGTATTTTGATGATTTTAGCGACATTATTTATCGGAACCGTTCCAAATTTGGTATTTGAAGTTCGTAACAGATACTGCAGCAGAAAACAGAAAATGGGCCATGTAGGTCCACGTCTTCGTATAGCCCCCATATACCGTACCCCCCGATATTCGGTATTTTGATGATTTTAGCGACATTATTTAACGGAACCGTTCCAAATTTGGTATTTGAAGTTCGTAATAGATACTGCAGCAGAAAACAGAGAATGGACCATGTAGGTCCACGTCTTCGTATAGGCCCCATATACCGTACCCCCGATATTCGGTATTTTGATGATTTTAGCGACATTATTTACCGGGATTGTTTTAAATTTCGCATTTGAAGTTCGTAATGGATACTTCAGCCCATGCCAGAAAATTGTCTGTGCAGGTCCACGTCTTGGTATAGCCCCCATATAACGGTACCCCCTATATTCGGTATTTTGATGATTTTAGCTACATTATAAACAAATTTTTCTTCATGTTTCGCATTTAAATGTTGTAATAACTTATGACAAAAGTTGCCTATGCATGTATACGTCGTCGTATAGACATTCGGTATTTTTAAGATTTTAACAGAATTTTTAAAGGATTTTTTTATTTTATTTATTTATTTATTTATTTATTTATTTTAATTTTTTTGGAAATTGCCAAATTTGTAATAAATGGTGGAGGGTATTAAAAGTTCGGCCCGGCCGAACTTACAGCTTTTTTACTTGTTTGACCTAGCATTTGATGGGGTGCAAGAGGTTCATCTTCAGGGGAGTTGACAAACACATGTTCCACATTTCGTTTTCAGTGTTCTATGGGCCGCCTTTGCTTCCTTAGGTTGTGGCCGTTGTAGCATGAACTTATTTGGTATGTAACACGTTACAAGCTGCATGTGTTGTTTAGTGTCATTTGAGGTGTGAAATACCTAAGCGAATTTGATAATGCATCAATTGTTCACCATCACAAACAATGGATATAATATGTGTTGTTTTGTCAAGCGATATTGCAACAAATTGTGGCAATTGACACGCTTGGTACGGTTTAATTAAAATGCCGACTGTGGCGTACATTATTACCAAAAAGAGATTTGCATTAATACTGCATCAAAGATAACCAGTAAAGAAAGTCCTAAAGTCGGGCGGGGCCGATTTTATGATACCCTACAACACTTTGCAAATTTAGTTGAGCTCCACATAACAACTAAAAGTTTTTATGGGAGAATTCAATCATACACGCTATGATTATAATTATAATTTAAAATTCAACGGACTAAATATGCCGAAGCATTTGTATCTTCTAAATTCGGACTTATATTGTCCATTTGGTGCAAAATTAATTTGAAATCAGATAAAGATATATATGGGAGCTTTATTCAAATCAGAACCGATCTCGATAAACTTTAGCAAAGGTATTTCTGAGCTGTATTTGATATATTTCCCTGAATATCGTTGTTACGGAATGCATATTACGGCTGTGGGTAACAAATACAACAAATCGTATGAACTATATATATGGGAGCTATAGCTATATCTGAACCGATATTCACCAAATTTGGCATACTACCTTCTAGACTTAATTCGGTCGTATGTGCCAAATTCCATCCCATTTGGACAAATATTAGACGTTTGGTGCACAATAAAAAGCAAATCGGACCAAGTTATATATGGGAGCTATATCCAAATCTGAACCGATCTCGATAAAATTTAGCAAAGGTATTTCTGTGCTGTATTTGATGTATTTCCCCAAATATTGTTGTTACAGAGTGCATATTACGGCTGCGAAGGACAAAAATAACAAATCGGATGAACAATATGTATGGTAGCTATAGCTATATCTGAACCGATTTCGATTAAATTTGGCATACTTATTTTCAGCCCTAATTTGGTTGTATGTGCAAAATTCCATACAAGGCAAATCGGACGAAGATATATATGGGAGCTATATCTAAATTTTTACCGATTATCTCCAATTTCAATAGGGTTCGTCCTTGGGCCAAACAAATGTTGTTTGCAAAATTTCATCTCAATCGGATAATAAATGCGACCTGCATTTTGATTCTTGTGAACATGGACAGACTGACAGACGGTCTGACATGCATAAATCGACTCAGAAAGTGATTCCATGCAGATCATCAAAAGGAACTATTGATTTATCTCGTTTCCTTTTGCCTGTTACAAACAAATGCACAAAGACATAATACCTTGACCACCTTGTGGTGTAGGGTATAAAAAATTTAACGAATTCATAAGGGACAATGTCAAAACGGTTAACAAAATTATATGTCTGTTTTCTACATCGTTTATACAAAATTGTTGATATATATAGATGCTGTTCTAGTAGGATTTTAGTTTTCGAAGTTTTACTTATTAGATCTTTATGTATCCTCACAAAACCTTTTGGACCCTGGAGGGTATACTAAGTTTGTCATTTCGTTTGTTATTACCCGAAACATCATTTTTCAGGTCCCACAAAAATATATATTTTTGATCAGTGTAAAATTCAGGTGTATCCTAGGTCCGTTGCATTTTCGGTATTGAAAATGGGCCATATAAGTCCACGTTTTTTTTTTACTTTACTTTTCGAACCATTTCTGCTGATGTTGTTGTTTTTTTCCGTCCACTTCCTTGATGTCGGGCTACTCTACCAGTATCACGGTAACGAGCGATGGTACGAGACACAAAAGATTTATTCACATTTAAATGCTGGAGTGCTTTAACGATAGCCACTTGTGGTTTTCCAGCCAAATATAAAGAAATAACACTACCACGCTTGAATTCCACCACGAATAACTTTTTTTCTGGAAAATTCTTACCAAAATGCTTTTGTACGCTTGTAAACAATATAATGAGCTGTCACTGAAATAATTTTAGAAATGACAGCAGTCAGAAGTTGGTTGCAGCTCTTTCATCTTACCCTGTATATCAAAGATGCACAAAACAGTACATTTGCGTTTATCTCTGTCGTTGCTGAGACTTCAATGAACGTAGGCGTGTTTGAGGGATTCGAGCATTGTTTTTCCGTCAACATTAAGAAAACAAATGATAGATAGCTTTTGCAAGAAAATATGAATATAATGTGCCTATATTCAATATTTTTTAAACCTTTTTTTTTTTAACAAAAAGTGTGTTTCTTGTTACAAACAAAGAAGAGAAATATTTTTCACGTGCTTTTCAATTTCTCTCACACACCCAAGCGCAAGTTACCATTTTGTGCATCTATTCTATATATCGTGTTGTTAGGACATCACATGTTCTCTCTGTTTCTCGACATTGTTTTTTTCGGAACACATTGGACAGCCATATTGCTGTTCGTGTGTAACAATGGTAGCATAGCATTTTTAAATGAGAAGTAAGATTGAAGTTTAATTAAATGGATGGGCAAGTATGCAAGCTAACGCTTGTGTCTCTTATTCCATGAGTCCATGAGTAAAACATAAACAAACAAACAAATATACACAATTTTAAAGAATTGTGTTTAAAAAGTATTAGTTAAGTAAAAAATCGCAAAAAAATAAAATTCTCTTAAGAATATCTCTTTCCTTATTTTGTCCATCTATGAATTAAACGCATTCCCATTGATTTTATGTAGTAATTTATGAATTATGAAAAGCAAGAGAATTCATTTATATTTGTCTGCGTTCTTTTGACGTCAACAACGGAAGTTTCACCCCAAACAAAGTTCGGTTCTAGTTTAAGAAAACATCAACACTAAATTTCCTTGGCTGAACAAATACACAACCGAACAATCGTAACTTTTTATTTAGTTAATAATTTAGCATACTCTCTCATAATATATACATCTATCTCTCCCTTTCATACTTATAAGGCATTTGTTTACCAAAGGCTACCTTAAGGCGATGTGATATATACACAAATACTTAGCTTAAGAGAACTGATAAATGAATATTTGCGTGGGTATGGAGCAACAACTTATTTATAATTTTATAGTCTTCATCCGCTCTAGACAACAACGCCTACTATACCATTGTTCCGAGTTGAGCTACCCCTTAAATAATCAACCATGCCTTTCGTTTCAATAACTCAGTTCTAGTGGTGATTTTATTTCTCCTTGTTCAACTTCTCCTTCTCTCACAATCTACATAAGGCCCCCCCCTGGCCGAATTGATGGTGGAAAACATTGCATTAGCCCATGCGCGATACCATAATAACGAACAAAACTTGTTCTTTATTTTCCTATGCATGCTGTTGCTTAGCAGGAGAATTACTCTCCCATATACATTTTCTCTCATATTTTTAGACATACTGGTGGTGGTGTTTTTGTTCGTCCGTGCGGTTAGTTTGAGGTTCGATACATACAATTTGTAACTCCCAAAGTATGGTCGGCTTCAACTCGCAGTTCAAATTGAATTTTCATTGTGCATGTTCGATATTAAGTTTATCGCTCGAAATTGCAAATTTATTTTTACCGGCGGCGGTTTCTTCCAATAAAAAAACAACTCAAAAGCCGTAGAGAAAAGCATGAATTCCTTATACAACTAAAAGTGAGTGTTTTAACCGATCAAAAGTCAATATTTTGATTTGAACCAAGTTTTAAAATCAATCCGACCGATGTGACAATAAAAGATTAATGAAGCTCAAGTCAGGGCCCTTTATAGTTAGTTAAATAAAAAAACAGCTATTAAAGATTGTGCTGATTTGATAAAGCGACAAAATTTATTGAATTAATCTTTTGCCATTGCGAATATTGGCATTATTTTGATTATTAAAAACTAAAACGGATTCTCAATTCACTGTATATATACATGAATGAATACAACAAATTTCAATGGACTTCACACTGTAATGAAATTTTCAACATTGTATAGTAGTTAATTGGAGTTAAAAATTAAAAGCGCCCCGTTTAAAGTCTACTACATATTACTCCATTTCGCAACAACAAAAACATGGTGCAGCAATTGAAGTATTCGCCACGAGTCCGACAATGGTCATTCGGCGGTGAAACGGCCAATATTGTCAACAACGCAAAAAGTAACCCCTGTTTTAGATTTGCTCCTATCAGTCTTGGAACTAACGGACAAACAAAATTATGCATCTGCAGCCCTTATAGCCGCAAGTTACCCACTAATTAAAGCCCTTTACGAGAACAGGTTTAATGGAACGAATGCAGTAGTTGATTGTGCCTGAGAGAACGTGTAGTATTATCTTACGTCCGAAAATGAGCAATATATGCCACCGTTAGCCACCAAAAAACGAATCAAATGATGATTATGGTAAGTTGATTATTAGAAATATGCGAAACAATTTTTATTTGGGAAACTTAAAAACTTAGCTCATGTAATAAGCTGTAATAGCTCTCACTTAGTAACAAAAAGTGAGTAAAAAAGAGCGAGAGAAGGGGCAAATTTTGCCAGTTGATTAAGTGCGAGTTTGCATTTTTTCTTGGAAATTTTGACATTAAAAACACTTAGTATAGTCCACTAAGCAGCTTTTTTATACCCTCAAGTATACATAGTATGGAGGGTATATTAAGTTCGTCATTCCGTTTGTAGCTCTTCGAAATAATCATTTTAGATCCAACAAAGTATATATATCCTTGATCAGCGTAAAATTCTAAGACGATTTAGCCTTGTCCGTCCGTCTGTCCGTCTGTTGTAATCACGCTACAGTCTAAACGAATTAAGATAGGAAGCTAAAATTTTGCACAGAACTCTCTTTTGTCTGCAGGCAGGTCAAGTTCGAAGATGGGCTATATAGGTCCACGATATCGTATAGCCCCCATATAACGGTACCCTCCGACATTCGGTATTTTTAAGATGTTAACCACATTTTCAATGGAATTGTCTGAAAATTCGCACAAGAGTTCCTTGTGGGTACTTTATACCTCAGCAGAGAATTATCTATATAGGTCCACGATATCGTATAGCCCTTATATAACTGTACCCCCCGGTATTCGGTATTTTTACGATTTTAGCCACATTTTTCATTGGAATTGTCTGAAATTCCACAAAAGGAGTCCCTTGTGAGTATTCTACCCTCTGAAAAAGAATTGTCTATATAGGTCCACGATATCGTATATCCCCCATATAACTGTACTCCCCGATATTCGGTGTTTTGATGATGTTAGCCACATTTTCAACGGAATTATCTGAAAATCCATACAAGGAGTTCCTTATGGATACTTTATACCTCGGCAGAGAATTATCTATATCGGTCCACGATATCGGTATTTTAATAACTTTACCCACATTTTTTCGACGGAATTGTCTGAAAATCCATACAAGGAGTTCCTTATGGGTACTTTATACCTCGGAAGAGAATTATCTATATCGGTCCACGATATCGTATATCCCCCATATAACGGTACCCTCCGACATTCGGTATTTTTAAGATGTTAGCCACATTTTTCAATGGAATTGTCTGAAAATTCGCGTTCCTTGTGGGTACTTTATACCTCAGCAGAGAATTATCTATATAGGTCCACGATATCGTGTAGCCCCCATATAACGGTAGCCTCTATATTCGGTATTTTGATGATTTTAGCTACATTTTTCAACGGAAATTGTACACAAGGGGTTTTTTGTGAGCACTTTACCCCCCGACAGAGACTTCTTTATATAGGTTAATTATATCGTATAGCACCCATATAACGGTACTCCCGATGTTCGGTATTTTGATGATTTTAGCCACATTTTCAAATCGTATTGTCTGAAAATCCACACAAGGAGTTCTTTGTAAGCACTTTACACCCTGAAAGGGAATTGTCTATATAGGTCCGCAATATCGTATATCCCCCATATAACGGTACCCCCGATATTCAGTAGTTTGATGATTTTAGCCACTTTTTCCAATAGAATTATCTGAAAATCCACACAAGGAGTTCCTTGTGAGCACTTTGCACCCAGTCATAGATTTGTCTTAATAGGTCCACAATATCATATATACCCCCATATATCGGCACCTTCCTATATTAGATATTGTAAAGATTTAAAAAATATTTAACGGATTTTATTTTTTTTTTTGAAAATTTTCTAATTTGTTCCAAATGGTGGAGGGTATTCAAAGTTCGGCACGGTCGAACTTACTGATTTTTTACTTTTCTTTGCTTACATGTAAAAGCTTAAAACATTTATATTTATCATAGTATGGAGGGTATATTAAGTTTGTCATTCCGTTTTTAACACCTCGAAATATACATTTTAGACCCCAAAAAGTATATATATTCTTGATCAAATTCTATGTCGATTTAGCTATGTCCGTCCGTCTTTCCGTCTGTGGAAATCACTCTAGTTTCCGAACGAATTGAGGTAGATTGATAAAATTTTACTCAAATGTATATTATGTCTGCAGGACTTGAAAATGGGCCATGTAGGTCGACGTTTTCGTATAGCCCCAATATAACGGCACCTCCCGATATTCGGTATTTTGATGATTTTAGCGACAATATTCATCGGAATTGTTTCAAATTTTTCATTTGATGTTCGTAGTGGATACTACAGCCTATGACAGAAAATTGTCTGTGCTGGTTCACGTCTTCGTATAGCTCCCACATAACGGTACCTCTCGATATTTGGTATTTTGATGTTTTTGGCGACATTATACACCAGAATTGTTTCAAATTTGGTATTTTGAAGTTCGTATTGGATACTACAGCCAAATACAGACAAGTAAAAAAGCCTAACTTCCCCATCAGTAGTTATGCCTCAAGCAGTTTGAAGTGTTTAAGTGTCAAATCGGATAAAACGTGTATATGCGAGTTATATCTATACCCGAATCAATTTGCACTACAACTACTTCTAATTTGAATTCGGTCGTTTGTGCCAAAGTTTATTGTAGTTGGTCAAATATTGGGGAATTCTAAGAATGAAATCGTGTGAAGATGTGTTGGGAGCTATATACAAATATCGAATGATTAGCCTCAATATCAACAGTGTACGACCTCGGGCAAAAAAATTAGCTGTCCATTGTTTAGTCTCGATCGGATAATGCATGTGACCTGACATGCCTTGAAATGAATTGGTCGGATACAGAGCATGCGTTTGAAAAGTACCAATCAATGCGGATAATATGATTTGCTGAAGTCCATATAAGCGTGGTTTAAGGAATGGATAGTCAAAATTCAATAGGATTCGGAGGTAGTTCTTGATCAGAACTTTAAAGTATCGCAAACGGCTATATAGGATGTTACTTACCTGAATATGGAAATAGTTCAATGAAATGCAGGTTTAAGTAGATTGTACTACAGTGTTATGCATACAGCTCCATAGATAAATCAAGGATTTCATACCCATGAACATCCTCTTCTTATTCCACCTTTTTTAATTATATGAATAGATGCTGTTCAAAATAGTAATTTAATGAAATTTCATTTATCAAATTCAGTTAAAAAGTTTGAAAGTATCAAATAATGAAATTTTGCCTAGATCTATATATATAAATGTAAGTTGTGTTAGTTACTACGCTTATAACTCAAGATCCGCTGATCTGATTTTAATGATTCATACAAATTCGGAATTGTCTGTTTTCCGAAAAGGATAATATTCAAAAAAATCGCGTAAAAATGTGATATATTAACATTTCAATTTTGACTTTTGAAATGTACAATAGTAATGTTTTATTTTGCATGATTTTTTTCCATTTTGACTTACTTTTTTCTAATGTACATTTGTAGTGTTTTTTTATATTTTTTTTTAATTCGAATATTAAAAACAATTTATTTAATTGACTTGATTTCTTGAGAACTGAAATTGATGGCGGGTTGCATGGAATTCAGTCAGATGATATCGAAATAACTTAACGCAGTTAGACCAAAGTTAAAAGATAATTACTTTTTCAAAATCGCTAAAAAAAACACGAAAAAAGAGATCTCATGGCAAAAATTCTCAAATCGGGAAAAATCGAAAAAAATTCAATGGAAATTGACTAGATATGGAAATAATCCATCCAATGAGAACTTAAAATGCAAAATTCATTGGGACTGCAACCAGTGAAATACCGAATATGAAGAGCACTGTTATATGCGAACTATACAAAATAGTGGAGCAAATTGAAAATTTAGAAAGAAAAGGATTCATATCCTCGGGAAATTCTTCCGATACCTTAAAAGTAACCTTAACTCCCATGTAACGTTATACGGTGACTATGCGCTATAATCAGTAATTACACTGCGGGAAATTACACTTGGAAAATTGTTTGGTTGGTACATAAAAATCCCAAAAAGGGGTTTCGGATCAAACGTTTTTAGGGTCCATTTTATATAGCTTAACCAAACACAAAGGGTCGGCCTAAATTGATGTAGTCCCTCAAATGATGTAGCCCCTTTCAAATTCCTCAAATGTTGGTAATTTGAGATTTTAGGAAGAACAACACATTTTTTCAAATAATTATAAGAATAGGACAATGCTTTGGTATAACCCTTATATGTGGACCTATTTCTTTCATATTACAATAATCCGCCCAATGAGAACTCAAAATGCAATCCATTGGAACGGCAATCAGTGAAATACCGAATATAAAGGGTTCAAAATGGTAGAACGAATTGGACATTTAGGAAAAAAAGAAAAAAACTTCCTAAACTTTCAAGATATCTTAAATCGCTTTTGCAGGTCATGATATATGACCCCCGGATAAGGGTACAATCCTTTTTCAAGTATAGTTTACATTTTAACCATATTTTACTCATACGCATTTTAGCAAAAGTTGGTAATTTGAGAAGAAACCATCCTCGCAAAAAATTATCACGTTTTGGCATAACCATCATATAATTTAAGCTATATTCGGGGTTTTGGACATTTTTTTCATTTTTCAGGCCTTTATTTGGCATCTTTGTTTCTACGGGTGTAAAAAACCTCTTCTCATAATATTTTGACTTTTGGAGTGGAGCCCATCTTGCTCTTGATCACATTCATCAATTGATTTGGCTAAAAAATTGTATTTAGGCTACTCTGGGTTGGAGAATCGTCTTACAGATAATTGTCCACATAGGCATTTATTTGAGTATAGTTCCCACATTAGTGTACCCGCAAATCCACTTTCCTAACCAAGGTTTGGTCAGAAAAGAAAATTTGGTATACTATTGAATTTTTAACTAGAATATTGGTTTGGAACGTAGATGTGGGATATACGTCTACATGCCATAAACTCCGAAATATCAAATGGTGGCAGAAACATGAAAAAATTACGAATATTATTTTTTTGGATCGTTATTGAATTATACTATGAAGAAAAATATGGACTTTATGGGTTCTCCAACGCACAATTTTAATGACAAAAATAAATTAATTCCTATATTACGGTAATGAGTGTAAAAGACCAATTATCTTTGACTACTTTGAAATCATTCAGATCAGTGTTCTATAATGCTTTAAAAAATATGCATTAAAAACTAAAAGTAGGGGCCGGCAACGCGGACCGGGCCAGCTAGTATACTATAAAATAAAATTAGCCAAAAAGGGAAATTCACTAACCACTTCCGATTTCAATGACTTTACTATGAGATTTCATTAATAGCGATTATTTACGGTGAATTAGATGAAAACTTCCACTTCGAATTTTTGCATGAAAGTGCCAGTTTGGTATAGGCACTAGTCAGAACATTGAGAATTAATGAAGTAGACCCTCTTTACTTATTCTTTTTCATCGTTTTCCAGAACATTTTACAAAGCTGTTAATTATTTCATAAATATTTTCGTGTTTATATGACCGATGCTTGCTGCTCTTCTTGTTGGTCATTATAATTAAATAAAAACAAATAACATAATTGGAAATGAAATAAAGCTTCACCCCTTTTATAAAAGAATTAACAAAAACATGGGCAATATTGTTCAGCAACTAACTAACTGACAAACGAATGTACGAGAAGACCCTCCAAGAGAAATTCTCCACGACGTTGGCATGTGACGTTGCCATTAAGTCATTTGACATTATGCCATGCGATGTTTGATTTAATATCAAAGGCAAAACCGAGAATCAAGCGTTTCTTCTAGAACTTGTCTTTGTGCATTTGTTTGTAACATGGAAAAGGAAGCGTGATAGACCCAAGGTTACTTTAAAGGATCTTCTTAGTCTGAGTCGATTTATGCATGTCAGTTCGTATGTCTGTCCGTCCGTCCATGTATTCTTGTGAACTAAATGCAGGTCGCATTTATTATCTGATTGAAATGAAATTTCGCAAGCAATATTTGTTTGGCCCAAGGACGAACCATATTGAAATTGTTGATAATCGGTTCAGATTTGGATATAGCTCCCATATATATCGTCAACCGATTTTAAGTTAATTGTGCCCCAAATGGCCAATATCAGTCCAAATGACATTAATTTTGGCATATTCGACCGAATTCAGACTAGAAGCAAGTACATTAGCTATAGCTCCCATACATATGTTTCATCCGATTTGGTGTTTAAGTCCCTCTTATCCGTAATATGCATTCGACAAGAATGATATTTAGTACCAGATATCTTATAAAGCTCGGTAATGCATTTGTCAAATTTTGTCGAGAACGGATATAGCTCCCATATATCCTTAATCCGATTTCAGGTTTATTGTGCAAATAATGGCTAATATCAGCCCAAATGGAGTGCCGTAACCATTTCTTTTGATATTTCTTCATAGCTTGATTAAATCAAATTTAATTTAAACAAGTAAAAAAGCTGTAAGTTCGGCCGGGACGAACTTTTAATACCCTCCACCATTTGTTACAAATTTGGCAATTTCCACAAAAAAAAAAAAAAATAAAAATAAAATCCGTTAAAAATTCTGTTAAAATATTACAAATACCGAATGCCTATACGACGACGTGGACCTGCATAGGCAACTTTTGTCATAAGTTATCACAATATTTAAATGTGAAACTTGGAGAAAAATCTGTTTATAATGTAGCTAAATTCATCAAAATACCGAATATAGGGGTACCTTTATATGGGGGCTATACGAAGACGTGGACCTGCACAGACAATTTTCTGGCATGAGCTGAAGTATCCATTACGAACTTCACATGCGAAATTTGAAACAATCCCGGTAAATAATGTCGCTAAAATCATCAAAATACAGAATATCAGGGGGTACGGTATATGGGGGCTATACGAAGACGTGGGCCTACATGGCCCATTTTCTGCTTTATGCTGCAATATCTATTACAAACTTCAAATACCAAATTTGGAATGATTCCGTTAAATAATGTCGCTAAAATCATCAAAATACCGAATATCGGGGGGTACCGTTATATGGTGGCTATATGAAGACGTGAACCTACATGGCTCAATTTTTGACTTAGGATGTAGCATCCATTGCGAACTTCAAATACCAAATTTTTGCAAACTTCAAATACCAAATTTTAAACGATTCCGATAAATAATGTCGCTAAAATTATCAAAATACCGAATATCGGGAGGTATCGTTATATGGGGGCTATATGATAACTTGGACCTACATGGTCCATTTACGAACTCAACCTGCCCACTTGCAAAATATACACGTCTGCAAAAATTTAGCCTTCTATCTCAATTTGTTCGAAATATAGCGTGATTACAACAGACAGACAGACGGACAGATAGACAGACAGACGGACATGGCTAAATCGTCTTAGAATTTTACGCTGATCAAGAATATATATACTTTGTTGGGTCTGACATGAGTATTTCGAGGAGTTACAAACGGAATGACAAAATTAATATACCCTCCATAGTATGGTGGAGTGTATAAAAAAACGCTCCACCGTTTATCTTCGACTAAAAAACAAAAAAATGAAATAAAACAAATCCGATCAGCAGGTGTCGGCTATGTCGTCTTAGGAGTTTTATGACTGAAAATATTGAAGTAACTCAAATCTGAAATCTTTAAAATATCAACAATAGAGTTTGAATAACATTTGTCAAACCATTGGGCGCCACTGTCAAATTGTAACAAGTAAGCAAAGGCTACAGTCGGGCGTGACCGACCGTTGAATACCCTACAACACTATAATAAACGATACAGTTTATATAGGCGAGATACGCGAAAGAGTTCCACAAGATATTGTGACAAATAATAAAAGAAAAACATCAGGTTTCGTTCTCTAATTTTCGACTAATAGCAACTTAAAATAATTTGCTCATTTCCAATTTATTGGTAGATGTTGCACATAAATGGTCTTCCTAGATCTGGAACCAATATTTCCCAAAGACCTATAATCTCTCAGAAGTGGCAAAAGATTAACATTTATTATTGGTTTTTGACTGAAACGCATCTATATGAGATACAGACATTTGACTATATTCTGCAACGAAATCAGCGTTAACGAAATAGTCAGAAGTGCGTCTTTCCTGTATTTGTGAATTCTCCAAAAAGTCACTGGAATGGTCATTTTCGTATTTTGTCCAAAAAAGTTGGCAAACTATTTCACACATTGAGTATTTTTGGATGGCCATCCAAAACTGCTTGGCTTTTGCAATGCCCGGTAACCCCCATTCAAATGTGCGTGAGGATCGGGCAATAATTACGACCTGCTGACAATTTTGCAGTGGACCATAATTGCGACCTGTAGAGTGTTTACAAATTAACATGGACAGACGGACGGACATACATAGCTAGATCGACTCAACTCGGCGAGATAGGAAGATCCATATATACTTTCCTATGTGGGAAATCAATATTTCGAGGTGTTACATAATTTTTGGCCCAATCAAATTTATAATACCCCCAACACATAGTGTTGTAGGGTATAAAAATAAACTTGTTGAATTTATCCCAAAATGTGTTCTTAAAGTAATTATTTATTTTGGAAATTGACTTTTTGTAGCTATAAAAAACTTTGGATGATTAAAATGTTTTTGCTACATTTTTTGTTAATTTTGTTTCCAATTTCCTTTTTCGCAGAGCACGACAACGAAAGAAGATTGCCAAGGAAATTGACCGACAAGCATGAAAACTGCAAGAATAAGGCAATGCCGTCGTTTTAGAAGGCCTCATAGGCGTTTTAGAAGGCCTCATAGGACATAGATTGTCGGTGGTAGAGATGTGATAGCGTAGTCCACGTGGAAGGGATTTGACCAATAAATGTTATTCACCCACTGGATAGACTGGCAGTACAGGCGGCCTCGGCAGTCCCACGCCTTAAGGAGACGACCTTGATACATGTCGTGACGAAGACAACAAAAGCAATCATCAGTAGATGCACAATCAAATGCATTTGCAAACTGTGATGAGAAGTCATTCTAATTTACAGCCACAAATTTCTAAATAAAATTTCAAACTACTCATCATTACGCAGTAGTCAAGTTAACGAAGAAAAATTGTAGCTCAGTAGCACAGCTCGAGTTATTAGGAATGCCAACATTAGAATGAAAAATCAAAAGCATTAAAGGCAAAACAACAAATTTAACGTATTCCTTTATTTTTCAGACAATTTTATCAGCTTAAGGTTAACAATATATGAGTTAAATTATTTTATTTGTTACGTTTTGTTTTATCCTCTAATGCATTATAAAAACTCAATTCAATGTTCAATAAAGAGTGGTTGGTAACAGTAAACGACGATTGTAGTTAATTTCTTCTAGGATGGAGCCATAAAATGTCATTTTTACACACGTAGTAAGAACGTAATGGAATTGAAAATCTGCAGAGTTTATTAATATTGAGTTTCCCTTGAAAACATATAACAATTATGATCTTTGATTATATAAACGTTGATTACGTAAAACTCCATGTAAGAAGGCTATTACACATTGAGTTCTACCGAATCGATTGATTATTTGATGTAAAGATGAAGTATGATTCCAAAATTGCTAATTCAAAACAAGTAAAAAAACATTAACATTAACTTTTAATACCCTCCATCTTTAGGTAGAGAAAACATTTTTATACCCTCCACATAGTATGGAGGGTATATTAAGTTTGCTATTCCGTTTGTAAGACACTTTCTGTTGTATAACAGTGTATTACAGATGTGCGGAAAAAAACGATTTTTGTGGATGCGAAATAAAAACGATTTTTGAATATGCGAAACAAAAATGGCATCTTTTTAACCCCTCCACCATAGTATGGAGGGTATATTAAGTTTGTCATTCCGTTTATAACGCCTCGAAATATACATCTTAGACCCCACAAAAGTATATATATTCTTGATCAGCATAAAATTGTATATTGATTAAGCAATGTCCGTCTGTGGAAATCACTCGAGCTTCGAACAAAATGAAGTAGGTTGATAAAATTTTACTCAAATATGTATTATGTCTGCAGGACTTTTGGTATTGAAAATGGGTCATGTAGGTCCACATCTTCGTATGCGGTATTTTGACGATTTTACTGACATTATTTACAAGAATTGTTTCAAATTTGGCATTTGAAGTTCGTAATGGATACTGCAGCCTAAGACAGAAAATTGTCTGTGCAGGTTCACGGCTTCGTATAACCCCCATACAATGGTACCTCCCTATATTCGATGTTTTGATGATTTTAGCGACATTATTCACCGGAATTGTTTCAAATTTGGTATTTGATGTTCGTAATGGATACTACAGCTTACGTCAGAAAATTATCTATACAGGTTTACGTCTTCGTATTGCCCCCAAATAACGGTACCTCCCGATATTTGGTATTTTGATGATTTTAGCTACGTTATTCACCGATTTCTTTTTTAGGTTTCGCATTTGAATATTGTAATGTCATGTCGTCGTACAGACCCTAATATAACAGGAACATTCGGTATTTTTAAGATTTGAACAGAATTTTTAACGGACTAAATGAAGGGTTGTATTCAAAGTTTAGCCCGGCCGAACTTACAGCTTATTTAATTGTTATTTATTTTTTATACCAGTAAAACCGATTGCATAATTCCGTTAAACTTTTCAAAAGCCCTATATATTGGGTTAGGCCTTTATATGGGGGCCACACCAAAACTGGTGCCATATAGACAACTTTATATTAAAAAAGTTTGTTGTATATTGCGAGTCTTAAAAAACCTGCACAGACTATTCCGGTGAAAAAATGTCGCTCAAATCATCAAAATAACGAATATCTGGAGGTACAGTTATATGGGGGCTATACCAAAACGTGGCCCATTTTCAATACCAAAGATCCTGCAGACATAACATACATTTAAGCAAAATTTTATCAATGTACTTCAATTCGTTCGGAAGGTAGAGTGATTTCCACAGACGGACGGACATCGCTAAATCGACATAGAATTTTATGCTGATCAAGAATATATATATACTTTGTGGGGTCTACAATGTGTATTTCGAGGTGTCACAAACGGAATGACGAATTTAATATACCCTATATTTGACAAATATTTTCATAGTGAAAATAACTTAACTCTGCAAGGATCAAGGTACGAATCCAGTTTACGACAAAATTCGAAGGAAACCCTTAATTATAGAAACCCAAGTGCAAACAAAGCACTTCAAACTCCAACCAATTGAAAAGACAATAATTTGATCGCTATTTTGGAGAAGAGATTAAAAAGGTCTATAAGTCGAACTGAATATGTAGCCCATTTCATTATCTAAAGATACATCTTTAAACAGTACCTTGAATAATGACAAGAAAATAGATAACAAATATGTAAATGTTATACCCCACATAGAATATATACATGATCTGCATAAAATTCCATGTCGATTTAGCGATATCCGTCCGTCGGTCCATCTGTGGAAAACACTCTAGTCTCCGAACGAATTAAAGTAAGTCGATGAAATGTTATTCAGATGTGTGTTATGTCTTCAGGACATTTGGTATTGAAAATGGGCTATATAGGTCCACGTTTTGGTATAGCCCCCGTATAACGGTACCTCCCTATATTCAGTATTTTGATGATTTTTTTTTTTCGTGTTTAAAGCTTTGAGAATTTTAAAATTCCATCGTAAGGGTGGAGGGTATTCAAAGTTCGAACCGGTTGAACTTACAGCTTTTTCACTTGTTTTACTGATGGAAATTAAAATTTGCTTTAACATTTTTTTGATTTGACCCTATCATTTCGTACAATAAATTCATACGCGTGTGTTGTTTAATTATATTTGTTTTAGTTTTGATTCTAGCTTTTAATTATTCTAATATGAGACTATACTTATTTGAGTTTAGTAGTTCCATATCTCATTCATATTCTACTTTATTGTATTAGCAGCCAGAGACTCAAGGTTTCAATCATATAATCTATCAAACGAATATGGGACTTTCTGTTTCTAAAACTTCAAAACAGGAAAAACTTAAATTAAGAGAGCGAGGATATATTCTTGGTAGTAGTTTCTCAATTAGTCGTTAGTTGCAAAATGATTAGCATTGTTTTTATGGACAAACCCCTCACCCAACGATTTTTTATTCCTTCATTTTGCCTCTCAATCAATTCGTTGGTTGAATTGAATTGCTGTTGTCGGTTGATCTTGAATATTGCTATCACTTCGATACGCTTCGTTTCATAATTACAATATATATGTCTGTGGTGAGACTTCTTTATTAGTATGAGATTTCGATTATTTTATTTCGATCGTTTTTGAATCAAAGGTTTTACGTAAATTGGTTTATAAAGAATTCAACACTTATTCACACATTCTCGGCACTGAAATTTGTCTGATTTAGGCCAGCAGCTGCTGCTGCTGTTGTTTGAACCTAAACTAATGCTCATAATAAACAAATTGATTTCTTCCATAGAAATTCGAACGGACCAAGCCCGTAATTTCAACCAAATTTAAATAACTTAACAAAACAAAACATGGCAATTAAAATTCCGAACACAAGGAAGGGGCAGCAACATCAGCGATTTTAAAAATTAATTCGACCATAAATCAATTTGCAACGGGAAACCTGGTTTTTATGGTTGTTAATTAAATAACTGAACAAATTAATAAAGAGTGAATTAGTAAGTCGAGTAAAAAAACTTTGCACAGGAATGGAAAGCTAATATACCATCTCCACATGGATAGGCGAACACAACGAGGAGTTCCGCATGTGTGATTTGGATTAGTTAGACTGTTAAAAACAGATAATGGGGTTACCATATTTTGTTGATGTGTAAAAACTCACACGAAAATTATTTATGAGAATAATTTAAATATTGATACGTAATAAAGCCGGGCCGAACTGAAAAGAAAACCTTCAAAAATAAATGTATACAGATTCAACATTCAAATAAGTTTTGTTTATTATGTTGTGAGAGTATTAAAAGTTTGATTTGGTCAAAAAATTTGTAACACCTCGAAATATTGGTCCTAGATGCACCATGTGGTATACCGATTTTTGTATCTCGACGAGCTGAGTAGATATATTTGTGTGAGTTCGCCTGTCGGCCCATGTAAATTTTTTATGAATATAAAGTTCCCAATATGGGATTGATCCTCACGAAATTTTGGAATAAGTTAGGATTTTGGAGAAAATCGCAAAACTCATCATAGATTTGTGTGAAACATATATTCAACAATTTTATTGAACCTCGTGGTACATGGTAATGGGACTTCTGCCCTTTATTTCGTATACGTACATAGTTAGATATTGGAATGTAGCAAAAAAAATCTAGCGTTTCAGAGAACGTAAGTATGAGACAATGGGTCTCGTGGCTTCTGTCTGCAACCGCGGAAACCCTTTTACCCTACACTACACTGTGGTCAGAACATTATATCTTTGTGCATTTGATTGTAAGTTACGATCAAATTTGTAACACAAAGAAGGAACCGAGTTAGACCCATAGTTCCTTTAGATGATCTGCATAGAATCACATTCTGAGTCGATTTATGCATGTTCGTCCGTTCGTCTGTTCATGTATTTTTGTAAACAGGTAGCATTTATTGCCCGAACCCGTCCGTTCGTCTGTCCATGTATTTTTGTAAACAGGTAGCATTTATTGCCCGATCACGATGAAATTTTGCACAAGCAATTGTTTGGTCCAAGGAACCTAACGGAAATTGGAGATAATCGGTCAAAACTTAGATATAGCCCCATATATATATTCTCCTAAAGTCCCTTATATTGTGCAGAAAATTTGTAATATTAGCCCAACTAGGACGGAATTTGACAAACATAACAAAATAGAGCCTGGAAACAAGTGCGTCAAATTTAGTAAATCGGTTCAGATATAGATATGGCTTCCGTATATATTATTCATCCGATTTGTTAATTTACTCCTCCTATAATATGCACTTCGTAACAACGATACTCAGAAATATATACAAAATACATATCAGAAACACTATTGCTAAAACGATCATATATTTAAATTCTCATAAATTCCCCATGAAAGGGTTTATTTGTTATATGACGCTATGGAACGAATTTGGCAATTCTCAAAAACAATAAAATCCGTTAAAATCTTAGAAATACCGAATGTAGCCGTTATATTAGAGTCAATACGACGAGATGGACCTGCATATGTAATTTTTTTTCATAAGCCATTACAATATTCAAATGCGAAACTTAGAAAAAAATCGGTGAATCACGTAGCTACAGTCATCAAAATACCGATTATCGGGAGGTACCGTTATATGGGGGCTATACGAAGGCATGGACCTGCACAAACAATTTTCTGTCTTAGGATTTAGTAT